GAGAGATCGCGCGGACTGTTGAAATGTCTGTTCTCCTGTTCTCTCCATGATGGACCGTTCACGGGAAATGGGCTCGCCGCCATTATGGAAAGCCGCGATTTTGGTTAATGGCGAACATGACAACGCTATAAAGTACAGGTAACTCGCTATATTTCAAGGGCCGTAACAACGGTTGCAATAATAATGTAGCGAGAGGTTAATCAACATGTAATGTGTACATATAATTGTATTGTACATAAAAAAAGGTTGAAATAATGTAGATAACATTTCTAGAATTTTATGCTACACGCACAATTTTTTAAATATACAGATAAATATTAAATATACGAAACATACTACGAAGTTATAGTTACCACTTGGATTGAGCCGGCGTTTGGCACAGCGAAAAGTTTGGGGTGAATGACTGGATTATAAAAGTTGGGGAAGGATAAGTCATTAATTTATGAAAGATACATAAACGTTCAACAATGTCTTTATTGTTCATTCAATTGATATTCTAATGCCAAAATAAGTATAATTCTGACGCAGAAGCAAACACGTGGAATATTGACAAGTCGCTATATAAATATGTATGAAATCGTATCAGGAAAATAACTCTTTCGCAGTTTTTTTTTTGTTGTTTTTTTCGCAATCCGGGCAAAAAATTCAGATGAATAATTTTTTAACATAGCCTGCAATATTTTTATAGAGTTTATTTTTTTATATTTTCAGCATAGAGCTGGTGCCACACGAGAAGTTGGGTACTTTGAATAATAAAGTGTGGAATAACCTCCTCGGAGATGTCGTCACTGGTGATGTGGACATTGGTTTAGGATATATTACCGTCAATAAAGAACGACAAGCTGAAATGTCGTTTAGTCATCCTCTAATTCGTTACATGTGAGAAAATATTTTATAATATCTAAATCATCCGATAACAGTGACTAACAGATTTTTCGAGAACGTACAGGGTGTCTCCTAGGTTTATAAATTTTGCTGTAGCCTTTTACTATTAAAAGTACGAAAGCTTGATATGGACGAAGGTTCTTGAAAGTTTTGTTATAAAGCAGCAACAAAAATATATAATTCGAGGGAAATGTTAAAAAGAAGGTTTTATTATAATATAATTTATGTGTCAATATAAGTTACGTCTGCTGTATTAATCTTTGATTTGTCGAATAAATTGATACTACGGTATATAGTATATCGATATTATACGAAGAAAGGTGGGATAACACTTCGAACGATAACCAAATGTAACAATATATGCGAGCATCTACATAAGTAACTTGTTGAATTCTGCTTGATAAATTTAAAGTTGCTTTAGTTGATGTATCAAGCGAAAAAATTTAAAGTCACTTCACCTTTGGTCGCCTATTATTAGATACCACGAATTTTAGTAAAAATGTAATTTATCCAATATATTTCTTCAAATGAAAAATAAACGAAACCGTACCATTCATTTATATTATGTACATAATTTCAAGAAAGATGAGAATGGATCGCGCGATTATATAATGCAAAAAACTAATGCACTGTGATTGGCTGATAAATTTATGTTTAGCAATGTATAACATCGCACGTAGTTTGATCTGTAACATTAGCTTCTTTCGTTTTCTTCAAGTTAAAAGTTATTATCTGTTTATCACTTTTATTTTGTCCATTATCTTATGATGAACTACCCGTCTAATTAATAAAAACGCTAGTTTCTTCGTCTCTTGCAAATATTCACAGAAACTAATTAATGTAAAGAAAATAGACCTCCGTTTATTCTTCATATTTTTCTAGTGAATTTTAAGTGAGATATTTATCAGTTTTATCTTGTTTTTGTCCATAGAACACGTAAACAAGATTTTATATGGAAACCTATGGGGCAAGCTGTATAATGAAATATATTGTTGATTAGACGAATAACCTATGCTCTGTACGATGAATATTTTTACACAGGAGGAATGTTTACTACCATCCACTGGAAACTGGTACCATGAGGGACATATTTCGCCAACCGTTTAATAACTGTTTACTGAGTTGTGTCGCATCTACTTATTTCGCCATACTAGTAGCGATGGGGTTGATCATTTACGCAGCGAAAACTGTTTTGCACAATGAAGAAGCTAAACGCGTTGGAATAGGGGAGGCTGCGCTTTGGTGCATCAGCATAATGTGCATGCAAGGTTACATCCCTTGAATTTCTTCAAAAGAGCAATCAGGAATTTCTTAAAAGAGTAATTTATCAATGTTTAGTTAACAATTTTTACTAACACGTTTACACGCATACATAGTGACGAGCGGTGATCCCACTAAATCTTCATATTTGTTAGTCGAGTATTCAAATTTCTTTTTGCGTATCTGTAAGTTATTGTATAATACATATATTATGGAGAATTTCGTTTGTTGTCCTACAAGTTGTTTTGCATGGATGAATTCGCTGATAAGAATAAATAGAGAATTAATAAAATTAAAGGATATCTTAGAAGATCATCAAAGAATAAAACGAAAAGAATAAAAACTGTTACAAATATTGTTATGCTCGCAAGTCATTTGACTCGGAACACACTAGTTGAAAGCTAATCCGTATAGTTCTCTGACTTCTACAGTGACATTTTGAATGTTCATATAATCACGTAAGATACAAGTTTGTAGGAAGAAAGAAGGGATAAAGTAAGACGTCGTAACGTTTGTCTTCTCAATGATTGTTTCATTCTTAAGAATAGATTCAATTTAATTAATTTTTCGTGAATTTAACGAATTCCAATTGCAGGTACTCCATGGACACCACGAAATCCATCAGGGAAGACAATATTATTATTCAGTCTAATGTTTGCCTTAGTAACGTACAATGCTTATGCTGGTTTCATCACTTCGATCTTATCGGTGCAGGCTAGTGGTATCAAATCTATTACCGATATTTTGTCTCACAATTTCAAATTGGGATACAGCATCACCGATGATGAATACATTAGAGTAAGTTTATTAAAAGAACAAATAAAAATGTAATATATCAAATTTTTCACCATCGAAATATTCTCCTCTTTGTTTCACAGAACGTGAATGATAGTAATCTTCGACAGTTGTATATAAGAGCGTATAACAATCGGGAATCTAAATTGGACACTACTTCTGGTCTTACAAAGGCCGTGAAAGGCCATTATGGCTTCTTCGTAAGTGCAACTCTCGCACGACGCGCCCTCAGGTCCACACTGATTCAAGAACGATGTACTCTAAAAGAATTGCCTCTTCCACAAACATTCACAATGGTGGCTCTACCAATGGCTAATTCTTGTCCTTATAAAAAAATTATTAATTTAAAGTAGGTGAAATATTAAAAGAATATGGTATTTGAATTTTAGAGGGAGAATGAGAATCGTATTCTATATAGTAATACGACCTTACACTTGTATTTTATTTATTTTCTATTCTTTCTTAAAATCGAAGGGCTCGGAGGAAAAGTGGTACGAATAAGAAATATTTAAGTTGGATAAACCGTCGGTGAAGCTAGAAGAACCTAAATTGAGAAATCTCGTCTACTTCGATGAAGAGCATGTCACGACCAAATAAATGGAAGTGATTTTAAAATATCTTACAAATTATACGCCACTCTTCCATCAAGCCCCATAATTGTATTTTACTTATCGTCAACATTCTCATGTCTCATGTTTCTCATGTTCAGAAAGAAGAAAGAAAAGAACGAAAGAATTGATAAATGAATTTCACATAGAGCTTCTCGGTCAATGGAAACTTTAATCAATCAAATATGTTTTCCAGCATTTTGAAAATACGAGAACGAGGCGTTCTGAACAGGATAACAGAACGAATGCTGCCAGAGATGCCTCGATGCAAATCGCCGACCACATTTCACAGTGCCAGGCTGGCCGATGTTTATTCCGCTTTCTTCATCTTGATCGCTGGAGGTGTATCGGCCGTTTCTATCGGGATCGTCGAGAGACTTTGGCACAAGAGACGACAAATGAAGGAAACTATCGTTCGTGGAATGCGTCAACATCGCCTAATGCCCTCTCACTTGCCACATTTGCCACATTTACCTCGTTTCTCTCATTTCCCTCATTTATCGCATTTGCATTTCCGCGACGATCGTCGAAATGATTTTTCTCTCGATCGTGATTCGCGATCGAATTTAACGATAAACAACGAATGCGTAGCAGCGAATCCTTCCAGCGATTCCACGCAAGAGTCGCGAGAACAAATTACACAAAGGAATTATAGCCAGGAACGCTATGTGCGTTCGGATGAAGACACCAATCGGCCTCGTTTCGAGCCGAAATTTTTCAACTGGAGGAGGCGTAGCAATTTCAAGCGTACGAATTGGAGCCCGTTTTCGGGATTGCCAAGAACGAGGCTTGATAGAAGTCAGAAGAGTAAATCTAAGGATAACACGGTCTTTCCTTTTCATCAATGATATGAAAGGATGTTATGTGTCAAGGAATTCACGAGAACTTAACCCTTTTCTTGAAAGTTTCATAATTTTAGTATCAATATATTAGGTCCTCGTTTCTGTTCGAAATCAACCGTGTAACTTTAATGCGCTTGATCAGTATTTAACTGGCTTCTGTGCGGCTGAAATTGTCGACGAAGAGGCGAGTTGTTTTGGCAAGAACGTAGAATTATCTGGATAGTCGATATACTATTGCTTCTTTGTAGACATTCTTAAGGTAGTATTTGTACAACGTTTCAAAATATAGGTTAATCTGGAAACCAAATATCTAATGTTGGTTTCGCATAAGTGTTTTTTCTGCTGTGTCCTTTAAGCTAGGTAAAAGAAATATTAATTATTCTGCATATTCTGTATGTGTGTGCAATATAATTTCTTATTACAATCTAATTGAGTCATAAATTATCATTTACTTCTAATGTTAATAATTTGTTTGTCTGGTAAAAAGCACTGAATGACGTTAAAAGAAAATGTTTATGTTATAATACGTTGGAATTTCCAGTTGAAGTATTTCATCATTTGCATCAATTTATAGAATGTATCTTTGTTGTAGCACATATCGTGCGTTTTTGAAGTTTATGTTTAAGATCAAAAAAATGAATTATGCATTGATTAAACTCATATTTAAAACTCATATTTATCTGAATAAATAAATATTACAAATATAGCTATGATGAGTTACGATGTAAAGATCTCTTAGTGGCATAATTATAAATATATTATATTTATTTGTAGTGCAGAATAAAAAGTTGTAGACATATTACTCTTAATCACGTTTGCCGTATTTATCGTAAGTTGCGGTGATTTTTACTTTTGCGTAATAAGTCTTAAACGGGGATTCGTATTTCTCTGTATTCTGCATGCTCTTACAATCTCGTAATATACCGTGCACGTTTCTGAAATGACGTAAACAGGTGACAAAATTTTTCGATAATATTTTGTTATTAAAGCTAGATATTTCATTTTTCTTATTACCGACACATAATGTTCGACAAGTCATGAAGTTTTCCATCGTTGTTACATCGCTGCCATTGTTCGTACAATGACACTTCTCCGATTTCATCGAGATAATAATGGCAAAGATCTCTGAATCTAAATAAAATTCGTCGTAAGATAACAGAATACACGCACGACATGCATAATTGTGACATGAATGAAGTATCTTTGTATACAGACTTCTCTCTCCAAAGTCCATCGGCGGACGTAGATACCATGATAGAACCAGGTAATTTATCAGAAATGTATCTTTTTCCATCTAATTCGCGAAGGCCATAGCTGTCAAAAAATCATAAATATATTCCTTTTGTTATTGTTATGTTCCTTCCTTTTGTTATTTGTAGGTTATGGATATTTATAAAAAATGGAAATTCATATATGGTTTAATATTAATGAGTACTTTAGCTTTGATATTTTGTACATTCTTATATATATATATTTATTATATATATATATATATATATATATATATATA